CATGGAGGAAGCCAAGCTTCCCGCCTGCCTTTGCCAGCTGTGGGCTCTGCTCAAGGCAACAAAGTTTCAATTATAGATGATAAGTAAACCCCAGATACCTGCTTCCAGCCGATGTGGCCTCCGCTCAAAGAGGGCCTGGGATCCTGGGTTGCCCAGGGCTGTGGCCAGCTGGCAAACAGCCCTCAGCCTCTCACCCAGGCTGGCCCGGCACTCCAGCGGGGACCCCCACCCTGAAGGGGTTGTGGCCAGCCTGCAAACAGCCCTCAGCCTCTCACCCAGGCTGGCCACACCCTCATGGGGTGAGGTTCCCCACTGGGGGTCTTGGCCAGACTGAAAAAAGCACTCAGCCCCTCATCAAGGCTGGCCAGGCACCCCAGCGGGGACCCCCACCCTGAAGGGGGTGTGCCCAGCTTGAAAACAGCCCTCAGCCCCTCACCCAGGCTTGCCACGCCCCCCCAGCAGGGACCCTCAACCCATGGGAGTGTGGCCAGCCTGCAAACCACCACAGGCCCCCTCACCCAGGCCACCCCATGCCCCAAGGGAACCCCATCCTGATCCGGGACACCCTTTAGGGCAAACCAGCTGGCCCCCACCTGTGCACCAGGCCTCTATCTATATATATATAAGCCTAAGCGACCGTTATGACTGGTCAACCAAATATTTGTTGATTGGTCACTATTTCACCAGGATGCAGACACTCAACACAGGAGCTGACCCCTGTTGGTCAGTGCACTCCCACAGCCAACCTCCTGCGGCTGGTCAACCTCCTGTGGTCCCTCCCACCAGCTGGCTGGCCAACCTCCCATGGTCTCTCCCCCTGGCTGGTGGCCCCAGTTGACCCTGATTGGGACTGGGCAAGATGGCCCCGATCACCAGCCAGGCAGAGGGACCCCACCCGTACACAAATTCATGCACTCGGGCCTCTAGTCTATACTAATAAAAGGGTAATATGCTAATTAGAAGGGGAAACCTTCCAGGAGACTTTCTGTATGTTCTTCTGGACAAAGCCATGGTGGCGGGGACGAGGTAGAGGCGGTTAGTGGCCAAGAGGGGAGGGCAGTTGTGATCAGGCTGGTGGGGGGGCGGGGCCATTGGGGGTAAGCAAACCAGCAGGGGGGCCAGTTGGGGGCAAGCAGGCCATCACTGGGGGTCAGTTTGAAGTGATCTGGACAGTGTGGGGGAAGTTTGGAGTGAGCAGGCCAGCAGGGGGGCAGTTGGGGGCAAGCAGGCCAGTGAGGAGGGAAGGTGGGGAGAGCAGGCCAGCAGGGGGGGAAGCTGGGGGTGATCAGGCTGGCAGCAGGGGCATTTTTGGGCAAGCAGTCTGGCAGCAGGCAGGCAGAGTGGTTAGGGGCAATCAGGCAAGCAGGCAGGCAAGTGAGCGGTTAAGAGCCAGCAGTCCCAGATTGCAAGAGGGATGTCCAACTGCCGGTTTAGGCCCGATCCCTGTAAATCGGCAGTAGGACATCCTTTGAGGGGTCCCAGGTTGGAGAGGGTGCAGGCCGGGCTGAGGAACACCCCCTCCCCCATGCACGAATTTTGTGCACCGGGCCACTAGTTTTAAATATATTTATTTATGTCCATGTAGTCCCTAAAAACCTGCCAAAATCATGTTGTAATTAGAAAACTAGTGAACAATTCAAAACAAAGTCAATCTTCAATTCCACATTTTGTAGAAATCATGGACTTTATTACTTTTCTATTTTTTGAAATATTTTAATATTTTGCTGACATTGACTTTTGATAAGATTTTATAGATGAGTGAATTTTCATTATCTATGAAGATATTCCTTATTTCAATGAATATTTTTATGAATAGACTTTTTGCATACACCTATAATTACCTCATATAAATTAACAGGATAATCACAAAATTATAATGGTTCTATATAGTGTGGGTTTTTTTTTTTTTTCATTTTACCTGCCAACTTTTCAAAAAATCTCTGTAACAATAGGTTTTTCACTATAAAGATATATATCTACAGAAGCAATGAACTATTGAGATTACTTGTATATTTTTGTTCAATATAAATTATTATTTTTTATGTTTCCCTCAAATTTATTGTAAACAACTTAGATCATATGTAAAATAACCCTAATTATGAAAGTTTAGGCAGATATAAAGTTATAGGCAAGTCTTAAATTGTCATAAGCTGTGTTGTAGCTTAATCTTGCTATGAGAGACTTAAATACTCCATTTTTTTTTGTTTGTTTTTAAAGCCAAGCATATTTTTAAACAGGGCTAAATAAATTACACAAAATATATCTTAAAATTATTTGATTAAAAATCATTACCCATAATCTTTTATAATACCCAAAAAGAAAGTTTTGACGGAAGATCTATAAGCTGAAATCTTCAATCTTTACCTTTGTTTTAGGACATTTTGTTTGTGTATATAATTTGTAATTAAGAAAATAAACACATTTAAGTTTAAACATTTTCCTTATTATGACTCCAAAATAGCAACTAAAAAATTTCATATTTTACCTAAAAGATACCTACCCATGAATATAACTAAGTTTTGTCATCAACATTAGATCTTCAACTGGTAGCATCAGGTAGTCATGTCTTGTTTAGTGTAAGATTCGCGGCACAAATATGTGTTAGTAAATATTTTATGCGGCATATTGTTTATCCAGAAATGCTGAGTTTGAATCTCCAAAATGCTTATAGTCCCTGCGAATCTTCTTAATCAGAATATACAATCTAATCAAACACAAAGAGATTCAGTGATTCTTGAATCTGAACACAAAAACAAAAAATATTTCTTAAATTCAAAGGGAAAGCCCTCAGTTTTACTTCTATTTGTAAATGTCAATTGTGTCCTCATTTTATTATGATAAGAACAGTTAACATGATATCTACCTTCTTCACAAAATCTTACGTGTACGATGCAGCACTGCTAGCTACACGCACACTGTTGTACAGCAGACCTCCAGAACGTATCCTGCAGAACTGAAAGTTACTACCCTTTGTCCAACATCTCTCCCATTTCCATCTCCTCTGACCCCTGACAACCTTCATTCTACTCTTTGCTTCTATGTATTTGACTTTTATTAGATTCTACATGTAAATGGTATGATGCTTTTTTTTTTCTTTCTGTGTTGGGCTTTTTCACCTACTGTCCTCCAGTTTCACCCATTTTATTGCAAACTAGAGGCCTGCTGCACGGCTTCCCTCTGGCACTCGGGACATCCAGCCGCTGGCAGGCACCTAAGCCCTGGGCTTCCCTCTGCCTCAGCTTCATCCACAACGACGTCCGGAAGGACATCCAGCCTAATTAGCATATTACTCTTTTATTATTATATGGTGGGATAGCCTTATTTTTTTTAGGCTTAAAAATACCCCATGGAATATATCTGCCACAATTTTTTTATCTTTTCATTTATCAATGGACACTTAAGCTGTTTCTGTAACTTGGCTACTATGAATAATATTGCAATGAACATGGAATGCATATCTCTTTCAGGTACTGATTTAATTTCCTTTGAGTGTATACTCATACGACAGATTATTGGATCATATGCTAATTCTATATTTAATTTGGGGAGGGGGGCCTCCATATTATTTTCCATGATGCTTCAATTTACTTTCCCACCAATAGTGTGCAAGTACCATACTCTTTTGATTACTGTAACTTTATATTTTAAAATGCCTCCAGTTTTATTCATGTTCATAATTGTATTGGCAGCTTGGGATCTCATGTGTGGTTTCACATGAAGCTCACCAGTAGAAAAAATTTTTTGTATTTCTATATAAAAAAAAGCTATTGCTATTTTTGTAGGGACTGCGTTGTAACTATAGATCACTTTGGGTATTATGAATATTTTAATAATATTAATTTTTCTTAAATCCCTTTCATATAGTTCATTGTTAGTATAAAGAAACATAAAGATTAATTCAGGGGCATGATCCCAACTGCTAGGGTTCCACTCCCAATAATATCTGATAAGTCTACCCCATAGTAGAGAGGAGGGAACAAAACAAACAGGAATCTCCTGTTCTTTAGATGTTATATCTCTATGAATTCCAAGGAATCTGTACTGTTTTGACTTTATTTTTTACTCGTTGAAATAGGCCAAGGTTTCCTTTCTGTGAGCTTCAAAAAATGGTGTTATTTTATTGTGATTTCATAGAGTTGTGTTGAGTTTGAATGAAATAATATAAATTGCATTAAATTTTTCTAAATTAAGGATAATTTTAATTCTGTGTATAGTGGACATCATCTTCTTTATTTACTCCTATATATCAAACAGGGTGCACCTCAGTAAGTAACCCTCGTGATACCTAGAAATGTTACTACTACCCTCATTTCAGGGCAGTTGAAGAAAGCTCTCTCTGAACTTGGGTCTAAAGTCAGCGTGCAGTAGGCATACAAAATATCTCAGTCCTTCCACTGGCCTTCATCAAGTCTTTCCATTACTTCATTTCTAGTGAATTTCAAGCATCTGGCAAACCCATGTTCATATAAAGTATGAAACATAACTACCTTTTAAAAGAATTTGTCATTAGCTTCCCATAAGTAAACTTCCATTTGTGTAAATGGATATACATGAAAGCATCTCCAGACACAGTGTTATAATCTCAATGTATACAGCTTTAACATGCTTCCAGGTAAATTTAAAAGATGATTTTCTAATTGACAGTTTAGCTTGAATTGTTCCTATACTGAAAAACAAAGTTGGGGAAACTCTTTAGCTATAAATCAAGGGTGAATTATAGCCTTTTAGTTATCTGAATATTTCAGAAGAAAATGTTTTTGGTTTAAATTATTAAACAAGAGACTGATTCATATATTATTTTTCTTTTTCATTAAAATAAAATCATTTTATGTCTAATTGTAATCTTGTACACAATTATGGCTCTTATGGCTCTGATTTCATTACTGCAATTTTGCATTATTTTATTGCTGTATAATGATTTAAATTTCTCCTATAAGAATATTGCAATGTTTGTATTAATTTAATTAATAACAATCACTTTAATTAAAATTTGTTAACAGGAGAATTTCATTGTGGATTTGAAGATGGTAACATTTGTTTGTTCACACAAGATGATACAGATAATTTTGACTGGACAAAGCAAAGTACTGCAACAAGAAATACAAAATATACTCCAAATACAGGACCTAACGCTGATCGTAGTGGCTCCAAAGAAGGTATGAGGGTATGAAATGTGTTAATAACAAACATACCCCAACATTAGGATGTTAGAAATGCCATTAATATGAAAGGCAAAGGAACACTTAGCTATAGATTTAAAGATTGTGGAATAAAATATTAAAAATTTTTGCACAGTATCAATAATTCAGGTATTTCCAAGGTTTGTAGACATTAATTTTCTCTCAGAATTCAGACACATATAGTTGACAGACTAGGATATTGTTTTGAAATTAAGTGTAAAATTCTAATTTTGTCTTAAATTTTTATACATTTTAAAGTGTTTTTAAGTGTGTAAATCCTTTATTCTTTATATAATATCATACATTTACATATTTCATAAATGAGATGCCAATCCTTTTATCAGTCTGTACTTGTATAAAAATCCTAACACTTATCAACAATTTCAAATTTCGTGTTACCTAATAACAATATGTTTAAACATTTTATTTTGTCTTTTTAAAGGTTTTTATATGTACATTGAGACATCACGACCAAGATTGGAAGGTGAAAAGGCTCGACTTCTCAGCCCTGTCTTCAGCATTGCTCCCAAAAACCCTTATGGACCCACAAACACTGCATATTGTTTCAGCTTCTTTTATCACATGTATGGACAACATATAGGTGAGGTGGCATGAATTACTGTTTCTTCTTCTAAAGTATATCATCACTAAGAAGAAAAATGTTTATAAACACACAGCATCAATCAATTTATTTAAAAAAATGCCATCATTTACTGTTATATAACTTACTTATAAATTGCAAAATAAGATGCTAAAAATGTTCCCCCATTCTGTCCTAATTTCCCAAATTTAGATTAGAATTTGAAATTTTGGACCATTGCCTACCTTTTCTGGGATCCTAATTCAAGCAGACCATCAATAGGTTAAATTCTTTATGAGCTCATCTTGTGGAATTTAATACCAGTACAATTTAGACTGCTTTTTTTAAAAAAAATTACTTGAATTATCACTCAATGTATATTAATGGTCATGAAAAAAAGTATTGTCATATTTGGAAGATAGTACTTTTAGCACCAACTACAAATTCAGAATATTGTTGTGATTTTTTTCTTGTTTATAAAGTATACCTAACACACCTAGTGGGAGTTCAGAACATCCTCAGTCCCCGAAGAGCATACAAAGATGAAGATACTAGTACACCCTCTGCTCTTAGAGACCGTGCACAGTCATGGAGGATAACATGAGTAAATACACAATTGTGCTAGATAGAATCCACAGAAATTTGAGAAAGAACCTACAAATCCAGGGAGGGGAACCAAGGCAGTTATACAAGTCTATAATAATTTATGTGCAATCTTAAAATAGAAAACTTGAAATGTTTTAATGTAATTATTTGGCAGTGCATGCTAGCCTACTATTATACATGTGTTAGAATATGACCTGGACCGATATGAGCCTGTTTATATAGTCTTTATTTATCCTAATGAGTGTGAACATTTGTACACTTTGCAGCAAAAATATTGCTGTGTAATTACAGATACCGTTCCAGATTCTTCCTGGAGATGTCATGTAATATATACAAGATATGCACACTTAATAAGGAAAATTCTCAATGGTTTAGTATATCAAGTCCCACAGAACTTGGACAAGGGAGTAGGGATCTGCATCTAGTTAAAGAATAAGTCAATGCTTTGGAACAAAGGAAAACATTTCTCTACGAAGGATGGGCACATTTTCAAAAGACAGAGATGAGCACAGGGAAGATTAAGGCATGGAAACCAGGGTGTAAAGTGTGAGAAGTTAGGATAGCATGGAATTGTATCAATGTAAATTAATAAAACTAATAATAAATATGTATCTTTTATAAAATAATGCACATGGTATACACCACCTACTGTACTAAATGAAATAATCCTCTTAATAGTTTTATAAAATTAGCATCACTGCCCATCTTTTACAGTGGAGAAAAGTGAGCCTTAGAGAGTTTGTATGAATTGTAAGCAATAGGGATTCAAACTCATAGCCAGCACTACAAGCTGGTATTCCTCAGAGTGGAGCACTAGGTGACACCTGGAAGGGAAGCTCGTGTGCAGTAAAAAGTACCCTCCACATGAAGCCAGGAAACCTGGGCTGGAAGTTGCCTGTAGCACTCAGTCACTGTACAAATTTACAGACATTATTGAACATGTCTGGATCTTAGTCTCCTCATTTGTAAAAAAGGAATACTAATTCCTATTTTAGAAATTTGTTGTTCAAGTCAAATAGACAACATATATAAAACCACCTATCACATAGTAGACAATCTTCCATTACTTTGAATCTCAAATAGCAACAACAGCAATAATAAAGTAATAGCTCATTATTATCATGGAGTAAGACACTATTCCTAACATATCATGAAGTATTTTTCTTAATTTTCGCAATAAACCTTGTACTCATTAAAATCACTATTGTGTTTTTTAAATAAGAAAACCAAAGTACAGAGAATTTTAATTACCATGCCAATCAATCTTATAGCTGATAAGTATGGAAGCCATAAAACCAGTCTGGGAAGCTGGACACAGAGTCTGCCTGCTTCTGTTCTGCAGGAGACTTATTGGAGTATCATGGAAGCATAGCTGACTTAGTGGTCAGGGGAGATATTACAGGTTTTGTGCAGACAATAAGCATGATGAGAACTTTGATTTGGGAAGATAAATCTAATAGGAGTGGTAAAATCATTGAGAGACAGAATATGAGCTGGAAAAGCAGTTAGAAAGCCATGAGAATAGTCATGCATTCACTTCAGCCTAAACTATGATAGGGAATTAATCCTTACACAATTGCTAAGCCATTTTTATTTATTTTGAGATTTCTATCTTATTACAAAAGTAGGGTTGGCTTGGCTCTAATTTTTCCCTTTAGTTGATCATGTATATTTAACTTACTCTCTCCTATGAATATATTTCATGTACTTCTTTTCTTCCAACTTACCTTAAAATATGCATATTTTCAATTGCTGTTTAAATAAATAATTCAAAGATCAATATTTTGAATTACTTTAATGAGAAAATATGCATTTACTTTATTTATAAGCTCTCAAAATTTCTGCATATTTCTGCTGAGTCCCAATATAATTTTAATATACTTTTAATTTAATAATTGTTTTTCTTATCCTCTTTACTGTCAATGGATGTTCAGTTCACCTCTGCTAGCTTTCTTTTGGCTGTTTCAGGAAGAAGGCAGTTGTGTATTTTTCCCTTACTCTCAGACATTTGCCACTTTGTTACCTATGACATATCTGTGCTGCATCCGATGGTTGGCAGTCGCAGGTATCAGGTCACTTGGGTCCCTCTCAGCAGGACATAGTCATTCTCCTTACTGAAATCAGGCAAATGTATTTGTCCTAGATATTGACTAATCAATTGGGACTAGATGAGGGAGTTGCTGCCTGCAGTTGAAACCTTCTGTCTTTGCAAATATTGTGTTGAGACACTTATTCATCTGTAAGCCCAGGCGCATTTATAGTCACTGGTTTTACAAATAAAATTATCAGTTTTATTGATTCTTTGGGAAATTCATATTGAAAAACAATTTGTCCTGGATTTCTAATAGCCTGATCAAAGTTATTACTTCTTGCCAAAACCGGTTTGGCTCAGTGGATAGAGCGTCGGCCTGCGGACTGAAAGGTCCCAGGTTCGATTCCGGTCAAGGGCATGTACCTGGGTTGCGGGCACATCCCCAGTGGGGGATGTGCAGGAGGCGGCTGATCGATGTTTCTCTCTCATCGATGTTTCTGACTCTCTATCTCTCTCCCTTCCTCTCTGTCAAAAATCAATAAAATATATTAAAAAAAAAAAAAGTTATTACTTCTTGAGTAACCATAAATAATCCTTGCTTTTTAACTATAACTAATGGAGAGTATACCATCGAGAATAGTCTTAAATTTTTAATAATATAAAAATTGATGATCAGTTATACATTACTTAGAAAAGAGATTCCTCTTTGAAATAAAGTCAAGTATGTGTATTATTTATTGCTGCAGAACAAATTTCCCTCAAATTTTGTACCATAAAGCAATAAACATTTACTATCCCACAGTTAATGGGCATGGCTTAGCTGGATGCCTATAGCTCAAGGCCTCTCATAAGGTTGCAGATGAGCAAGGTGTAAGGCAGACTAATTTGAATATTTGACTTGGAGAAGATACATTTCTATGCCCACTCCCTTGTTTTTTGGGCAGGCTCACTCCCTCACAAGGGTTAGAATAAGGATATCAACTTATTGCTGCCTGTTGGTCAGAGGCCTCTCTCATCTCTTCGCCATATGGACATCCTCATAGGACTGTCTCATGGTATGGTGGCAGACTTCCTCCAAAGCAAGAAACCCAGGAGAGAGAAAAAAAACACATGCTCAAGACTTTATAATCTGATCTCTGACTTGACATCCCATAACTCTGCCTTGTTATCCTATATAATAAAACCCTAATATGCAAATCGACCAAACAGCAGAACCACCAGTCACTATGATGCGCACTGGGGGCAGATGCTCAACGCAGGAGCTGCCCCTTGGTGGTCAGTCACTCCCACAGGGGGAGTGCTGCTCAGCCAGAAGCTGGGCTCAGGGTTGGTGAGCGCAGTGGCAGTGGCGAGAGCTTCTCTTGCCTCAGCAGCAGTGCTAAGGACCCCTCAGGGGATGTCCTACTGCCAGCTTAGGCTCACTGTGAGCCCTCTAAGTCAGCAGTTAGACATCCTCTGAGGGGTTCTGGACTGGGAGAGGGCACAGGCCAGGTTGAGAAACCCACCACCCCCAGTGCACAAAAGTCATGCACCAGGCCTCTAGTATTTATTATAAGTTGATAATTCCAACCCACATTCAAGGGTAAGAAATTACACAAGAGTGTTAATGCTAGGAAGGTGAAATCATTATGCACCATTTAGAGGTTGTATGTCACGTTGTTATAATTTACTAGAGGTACAGTGCACAAATTCATGCACAGGTGAAGTCTGGCCTCCCTGCCCCAATTGGTGCCAATTGGGAGGGGCTGGCCAGGGGGAGGGGCCACAGGATATTGGCCAGCTGTCCCAGCCCCCCTGTTCAAACTCCTGGTTGAACTCCCAGTTGAACTTCCGGTCCAAGGGACAATTTGCATATTAGCCTTTTATTATATAGGATTGTTAAATATTTTATCAACATTGATTGAAGAAAAAGTAAATGAAAGCTATAATGTGTTATCCTTAAACTAACTGTTAATATATATGATATATGATATAATAGCTGGCTTTTGGCGAAAATATAAGATTATTTCAGCAATCCTGTAGGCATTTTGTTTCTTGATCAGTCAGTTGAATTTCTAATGTTCTTGCAAAGCACTTGGGCCACAAGATATGACAAAAGCTTATTAAAACTCAGTAAAACATGTACTTCATTTATTTCTTAAAAGAGTAATGTGAAATATAAGCACTATATCATACCAAGAAATTAAAAATAAAGATACAAAAGACACTTATGAATATATTCATTGAACTTGGTAAGAAAGTTTCAGTCAAGTTGTGGCTCCAGAAAGCTAATTTCAATTTGGAACAAAAGAGAGGCAAGGAAAAGGAGTTTGTTAATGAAGTCCACTGCCATGAATCTTGAGAGTGAGAAAGATATGATAAAGTAAAATATTGGGGGTTGTAT